CACAACACTAAAACTATACATTTAACTTTAACTTATATTTAAAACAGAAGTCTGACAAGTTGTAATTAACAAATAACTAATACTAGTACCAGTAATAATATTATTAATAACACTAACACTAAATAACATTATAGTTGTACTGTATTCTGTACTGTACGGTAGTGTTATTGAAATTCTGAGTCAAATCCATGCTGTGTCCCAATTTTTTCCATTCGCTCAACGATGTAATTTGTGGTATCTATGAATCTATTAACGCAATTCGTTAAACAGGTTTCCGTACGAGAGTCCAGCTTTGAAGATGGCTTATCCAAACACAATTCCCAACAACGTTCAGTCAATTCATGAACGAGGTACTGAAATCTCTGTTTTTGAGTTTCTCCTTCAATAAAACTCTTTAATTCAATGTCAATTTTCCCACTTTGCCCGCTACTCATCTTAAATGAAGATATTGTTGTTCTGGAATTTGGAAAGACACAAAAAAGAATAAGAACAATTTACAGATGTGAATCAAATACAACTTGCAAATTCACAGAGTAAACCACGAGGAAACCTTTGAGCCACCTCTAGCGGTTAAAATGTATACTATTTGTCAGGAAATAAATACTTAATCCATACATCAAATTTAACACTAAAATTATTCATGTGACTATATTGTTAAATGATTTACAAAACTGAGAGTAATCAATATATTTTGGCGGGAAGTGATAGTATTTCAATGAACCTGATATTCCTCAAGCGAAAAATTAAAAAAGGATTGGAAAATTAACATATAAAGTAATTGATTCACATTCTAAGGACAATTTACAAAGTAATAATTATTACAACTATATTGGGTTTGTTTGAACTTTTAAACAATTCATGGGTAACTAACCAGAAAAAGTTAAAATCTTGAGCTTGAAATTTTGATAAATCACATTTGACTAAATATGTTTTGTGCTACATCTTTCTTTGTCAATTCATTGTAAATATTGAAATAAATGATCTGTAAAATAACATTTCGATATATTTTAACTGTTTTAATTCACTGTTCACATCCTTTCGATTAATAACAGGACACAAAACTCAGTGACATAACTTCAAAAAGTAATTGGATCCCTACAATTATTTTCCGGCAATTGTAGTTACAATTCTGGCTGATTCGGGCCCTCTTTTGGCTAGCCCCCCACCCCTTCCACAACTGCGGGAGCTGTGGGGGCATACTTACGCCACTGACATAATGTAAACTAAACGTATGCCAACAAAATTTCTGTGGTACCCGTATATAGACGTACTGAATAATTCAATAGATGCCGTACCATCGTCAGTTCGAGAGATTAGGGTATTGATTGTTGATATTTAGTAAGATGTGGCATTTGTTTCGAGTATCATTATAAGTGACGTTTTCCTGTGTTAACTACTTCAAATGCAACATCTGTTAGAGGTATTCATTACTGTTAATCTTAAATATAGTATATTGACAAAGAATGATTTATGAGCATAATGAAATCACTTTATGTAAAGAATGTATTGCATGTTCCAAGATGTGTTTGTTGTACAGTGGGCTATTTGCTCCATGTCCACGAATATCGAAACCCGATTTTTTGCGTTATATGCCCAAAGACTTACCGCTGAGCCACCGGGGGCAATGTTCCAAAAGAACATTGGAATTTTTTCTTCATACCTAAAGAAGAGAGACCAGTTTGTTTGTTTTTAAACATATAGTAACCTGTTTATATCAAGTAGTTTTCGTTCTGCTTATGAATCATTGTTTGTTAACTTACAATTGTGTTAACATAATGTGGTTCCATCCACAATTATAGTCTTAAATGTGATAGAAAATGCACAGTTTTAATTAGTATTACATAAAATCAACATGCCCCCAGTGGCTCAACAGTAAGCTTATCGGCTTATAACGCTAAAATACGAGTTTCGATACCCGAGGTGGGTGGATTACAGACAGCAGATTACAGATATTGAGTAGTTACGTGCTCAACAACAACTAAACAAAACTGAGATTACATTTCAGAAGACATATTGTTTTCGCACATTTTCTCAGGAAGCAGACAGATTGTATTTTAGACTTTTATAAGTTTAGGTAGGACGTTCATCGCTATGATTGTGTACAAAAATGGGTAGCATGAAGAAAATTTGTTGAATCTCGTTGTCTTTAAATAAAGAATTAATTTGCTAAAATAATTATCAAATACATGTCTGAATTATTTACTTATTTATTACTGCTCAAATTGCAGATGATACTAATAACTATTTTGCAGAAATAATTCCAAAATTAAAATGTAAAATACAATAGAAAATGTTTCTTCTCGAAAACATTTAACATATGCTAAAACAAGTTATTGAATATTGTTTTATACCTGTTTTAGTGACACAGACTTTTTTTTCGTTTATTTAGCTTGTATGCAGTTTTGGTATAAACAAGTGTCCCAAAAAGTTGTTGAGATTGCCTTTCTTCTAGCTGTTTCCTTCCTTTGTTCTCTTATAGTAGGTGATGTCTGTTCTGTCCGAGAGGATATTGCAGTAACATATGGCATCTGGAATAGAAGGATTAGCACTGTAATATCCTTTGCTGATCGAGTTGATGTTGTCTAAATCTAAGAGACGAACAATACCGTGAGAGAAGAAAGGTCACGAGGTGACACTGCGGACTGTACAAAGAAAGCAAGTTTACCTATTGAATTCCGAAAAACATTGCATTTAGGCTGGTATGTACTTTAACTTAAAGACATGTATCATAGAACAACAATAATGCCCACTTAAGATGGACTTTCCCAGTGACAAACTATAAGCTTGAGGATTTATATCACTAGAATTCGATCCTTGCGGTGGACACAGCGTACATGGTCCTTTGTGCAACTTTGTGTTTCAAATGGTAATTATAATAAGAGGAAAAACATTCAAGCCGTGCAGCTTTAACATGCAAAGTTTCTTAGAGAAACTAGTCTACAATTAAACCTAAGGTCAAGTTCCTGAGGGCAACAATCAAAATCTTAAATCGGTAAATATCCAATAAAAGTAAAAATAAATAAACTCAAAAAATAGCTCTAATAGCTTTTTAGCCCACCCTTATATATGAATATTCTAAGGTTTTATTTGTAACACCTACTGGCAGCCTCCCAGTGGCACAGCGATATGTTTGTTTGCGGATTTATAACGCTAGAAACCTGGTTTCGATACCCGTGGTGGGCAGAGCACAGATAGCCCATTGTATAGCTTTGTGCATAAATTCAAACAAACAAACAAAAACCTACTGGCAATAACAACAGTGTTTTACTAAACTTTAAATTTCTCTAAAACCGATTAACAACAAACCCGCTCACAATAGTTTATAGTTGTTGCCTGGTTTATTTCAAGTCACGAGTCCTATATATACATCCCCGCTATTTAAGGTCGACCCTTAAAAGTAAGAGTTTCCATCTCCTTCGTCACAACCACCGTCACTACCTTGTATTCCAGATTAAACCAGTCTTATTTAGTTTCCTGCTATACATTACCATTTGTAATCCACGATGATAAATTAAATTATAAATATTATAGATTTTTGTCTTGAAAATATTTTTCATTTCAATGACCCCCAGGTGGATCAGCGATAAATCTGCGGATTATAACTCTAAAAATCTGGTTTCGATACTCGCGATGGGCACAATATAGATAGCACATTATGTAGCTTAGTGCCTGTAAGGAAAAACAGACAAACATTTCACTAATGTTATTGATATCGGAGATATTTGTCAATACCGTGATAAAATTGGTATAAAATAAAGAAGGTTTAACGAATTTAAGTGCGCGCATTTTTAGACATACAGATATAAGCCGCTTTGGGGAATATCTATTATGGCATATCCTTTTTGTATATTTTTTAGCAAGCGATGCTAAACTCTAAAAGCTGGTGGAGTAATGGAAACCAAAAGGATCCTAAGTAGCATGATGAAAAAAATTTATACTTTTATTATTGTAATGAATATTAGTGTTTTTCGAGACGTTTTACATCAAGGAAAAATTAGAATAAGAACTGTTTATGCCTGGTTGGAGAATAATTTTAGTGTGTTGTTTATTGTTGAATTTCTTGCAAAGTTACTCGAAGACTACTTATGTTAGCGTCCGTAATTTTGAATCGATAAACTAGAGGAAAGACAGCTAATCAACACCACCCACCGTCAGTTGTTGGACTCTTTCGCCAATGAATACTGGTATTGACCATCATGTTATAACACTCTTATGACCGAAAGTGATTAAAGTTTTAGAATCGATGAAAAGTTTTAATTGAATTAAGGTTTCATTGTTTTTTTTTCTTTCATTAAATTTGTATTTGGACTGATTTGTGACTAACAGGTGAAAGGAACAAGTATTTGTATTGTTTTGAATCTATGAAAAACTATTAAGGCTATATGCCGCTATCCCGCAGTAGCACAGCGGTATGTCTGCGGACTTGCAACGCTAGAAACCGGTTTTCGATACCCGTGGTAGGCAGAGCACAGCTAACCCATTGTGTAGCTTTGTGCTTAATTACAAACAACAACCCTCATTTTTAGCTACAGACCATAAAGAAGGCAGTTACTCAGCAGCATTTTACTATTCACCATCGATTCTAAGGGATTGATTGTTATTCATGTAATTTAGGGTACGGGGAATAATATGTGGTATTGCACAGACTTGAACCCGGAACCCAAGCTCTGAAATTTAAATTCTACCACAAGGCAAACGTTTGACCAACTGAAATATATCACGATTTTGTCACCGCTTAAATTAGAGCGGTCTTTCCCAGTAATATCGATCATAATCTTTGAATTTAGTGGTTCAATTGAGTAACATTTATTTCAATAAACAGCTAATTTCTTATTCTCTGTAATCATATAGAATATTTTCTTTTTTAATGCAGTTGTAATTGTATAGTATAACAAGTCAACATTACCATTAAGAATGCTTTTCAAAACTTCACCCAAAAATAAAACAGATTCGGCAGTGGAAATATAGTGTATTGTTGCAAAATACATTTTCTACACGACAGATGGCGACTGTTCACAGCATGATACTCGTACGTAATCGCCTTGCGATATGTTCCATCTGACTTTTAATGCGAATGTATTATTATTAGGCCTATAGTTGTTACATTGTCGAATATGGAATTTGATCTTGAAAATGATTGGATTACTGACAACTTTACGGACACTCTCATAGAAAAATTGTTTGGGAATGTATGTTAATCTTATTGAATGATATATTATTAACAATAGTAATTTTCAAGGATGAATTGTGGTGCATTATACTACTGTTAAATTGTTTACATTTATATAAAATTTATATTACACTATTATTATTACTATTACTATAATTTATAAAGTATAACTACCATACGTATAAATATAATAACATTAACACTTGTCCGTGTTGATTCGCTGAGACTTTAATTTTGTAATTATAAAGAAGTTATAATAATTATGCATTAAAACTTGCAAAAGTACCAGCAAGGCTAGTAACTAAAAATATAAGGATTGGATTTTGACTTGCTGTATTTAGTTTTTTTTACTGCAAATGAAAGTGTCTATGGATCTTTCCTTAGTCAAGTAACTGGAGCCGAGATATCTTTTCCAAATCTTAAACTTGTGTCCTTTTATCCTGTTTTCTTCAGAACACAAAACAAATATACCAGAGGTTTATGCATTAGTGATGCCCCAGATACTCTTGTAAATTTCAAAAATAACACCTCTTCTCCTTCTTTTCTCAAGAGAAAGGAAGTTAGATCATAACCCATCCATTTAAGGTAATGGTTAAATGGTTATAATATTTAAAATATTAATTAACTTTTATACTTACGAAGCTTATTTTGCATTGTTAGCTTTCTATAATACAGTATACATGGACGTAAAACTAATCTGAATCTCCATAGCTGGGTAGATTTCATAAGGTATTATAGGGTTTGTGGTAGAAAATTACATTAACAGTAAAGGAAATTGACTTATGATTCAATGCATTATAATCATAATACAACGTAGGTTTTAATTTTCTTGTGTGTCTATGACATTGTGTACTTCTAGTGAGTTTGTTGTATAGAATTGGCTTTATTAATTTATTTACTTTTCAATTCTGATATGTTTAGTTTGCTTACTTTACATTTGAAGTTACATGTATTAATACTTATTGTGTAACAGCATTTTGTTGACTAAGTCCTCTGCAATAGAAAGTTCCCACTTGGAGAATGAAATGCCTGTTTGTGATGTCTAAAGGATAACAAAGGATAACATTTTGCCATCTCATGTTCTGTTACCATCCTACTCCAAACTGCATATGTTAACCCTATATCCTGTCCTATATATATGTACTCATTCAACCTTCTCTTACACTCCTCTAATATTTCAGTTTCTACCACACCTGAAGTCAAATTGTACCATTGGCTGACCATCCTATTAGAAAATAAGAACTTTCTTAATTGTATTCATTTGTTTTCCATATGATAAACTTTTGTCCACTAGCCTTAATACCTACAGAGTGGAATCAATGATGTCCTGAATAATAAAGAGGGGTTTTAATTTTTTACATTTCGGAAGAATGGGTGAACAAGGACAGCCTTGAAGTACCAAATGATTCTTCTTTGTCCATATATTATTTATTGGTAGGAGAATAAAATGCACTTAATAAAAGCAAAAATATTGTTGGTAAGTACCAATTTTCTAAGGAAGGATAAGCTTGTGTGTTGTTGGACCTATATATATTTATATACTTATTGTCAGCTTACTAATGAGTCATTTTGTAAAAATGGATTTTTAACTAATAATGAAATACCATAATGTAAGCATCTAAAGTTTCATTTATGAGGAATAATTATTTTACTCTCTACCCGATAGACATTTAACATTATTATTTTAAGTGTTTTTTGTTTTTTTCCAGGTAGCTATGAAAGACTCCGATTTTCCAAAATGGAAGAAAAGAAAGAAGAAAAATAAAAAGGGTGTAAAATATTGTCTTGCAGTGAGCGAGAGTCAAAATGAATATATGAATAAAACAGATAACACTTCAACCGCTCATGATGTTGTAAGCATGTACAATACACCAACTGATTCTAAGTCATATGTCACACATAACATAGATTCTGTTAGTGTGGGCAAGTCCCCTGAGGAAAAACATCAAACAGTCAAAACTGATGGAAAGTGCACAGAAACAGCTAGGACTTCAGAAGAAAATGAGGATCAAGTTCACAAAACGAAGAGAAAACCAAACAAAAGAAACAAATACAAACATTTGATTATTAAAAAAAATGACACATGTACATCTTCTGACTTAATAAATGTTACTCAAAATAATGTTGAAAGAACAGATACAGAGATGACCAGAATGGATGAAGATGAGAACAACAGTGAAGTTGGATTTTCTTGTGATCATTTTAGGAAAACCCAAAATAGTAATGAGACTAGACAAAATAGGAAAAGAAAATCATTAGTTCATAACATTGAATCTGATAATATAGAGCTAAAAAATTCCAAAAAATGCAAATATAAAACGTCACATAACATTAACACAAAGGTTCAAAATACTTGTAAAGATAAATGTGACATTTCATCAAATGATTATCAAGATGAATCACTTCAGAATTCTGTTCACAATAGTAAATTATCTTTTAAGTATACGTCAAATGGAAGTAACAATGATACTCAAAGGAGTGATGAGAAAGACTGTACCTTGATGAAAAGTAAGAAGAAAAACGAAAATTTTCAAAATTCTGAATTTAAAAAGAAAAATAAGGATAAAGATAATCATTTGGAGCCACATACATTTTCCCTAACGCACAAACAAAAGACCTTGTGCAGTGAAACAAGTGGAGACTTAACTATGCAATGTGAAGATTATTTTAACCAAAGTAAACATACCTGTAATGTAAAAAGAAATATAAGTAGTTCTATGATCAGGGAGAAGGCACTAAATCGATTGAATGCTGCCAGGTTTCGGTATCTCAATGAGAAACTCTACACTTCTACTAGTAAAGAAGCACTTCAAATGTTTCATAATGATCCTGCTTCATTTAAAGTCTACCATGAGGGTTATAAACTTCAGGTTTCTAAATGGCCAATTAATCCAGTAAATATCATTATTCAAGATATTGAAAAAGCGTAAGTAACCTTTATTTGTAATGTATCCATTAATGTACTTTATTACGCTCAATGATAAGGTAAAACTAAATTCTGAAAAGCAAAATTAAAGATTTTATTCAATAATAGATCTTAACTTATACCTGTGAGATAACCATTCCATACCTGAAATCGTGCCCCCCCCCTCCCCCCAGTGGCACAGCAGTATGTCTGTGGACTTATAATGTTAGAGACCAGGTTTCAATACCCGTGGTGGGCAGAGCACAGATAGCCCATTGTGTAGCTTTGTGCTTAACTTTAAGCAAACAAACCCTGAAATCATCCTAGAAGCCTTCTAAAGCATTTTTAATAAGTCCATACCCTTACTGGTATTAAAGTTATTAAACATATAGAATTATGATGAATACAGAAGATAAATCGATTGCTTCAATATGATAAACAGAAGGAAAATACTATAATAGGTTTTATACAGAGAAATAAAAATAAATGAATTTTTCATATTTTAAATAATACATTGTAAAATTAAAGGTTTAATTTTACAACAAAACCATGACAAATAATATGCAGTATCGAGTAATTGTTGACTGTTATGAGTCTTAAAAAACAGTGTAGGCTATTGGTTAGGTCACATTTGGAGTATTGTATTCAGTCTTGGACTCCTTACCTTAGAAAGGACATTGAGTTGTTGGAAAGGGTTCAGAGAAGAGCTACCAGGATATACCTTGGACAGAATGGTTCTCATATGAGGACAGCTTAAGATCTTTGAAATTGTTTTCTCTTGAAAAAAGGAGAGTTAGAAGAGATCTGATCAAGGTTATCAAAATTATTAAGGGATTGTTAGTGCTGCTGTTGTATTATTATTTTTTTGTACTTAATGGTAAGAATAGTAGGAAGAGGGAACACAAATGTAAATTTTGGCTGAGTCACCTACAGGTAATAAAAGTTTAACAGGGTAGTTGGCTTTTAGAATGGATTGCCATAAATTTAAAGGAGTTTAAAGGAAGGCTTGATATGAATAATAAGAGCTGGCTTTGAATTTTTTTAATATTTTTTCATTATTATTTTTTTTAATGATCTAATGGATTGGACAGCCTAGATAGAGCTTTGTTGTCCTTAAATGTTAGGTTATAGTCCTATTCTTTTCTTATGTTTTTAATAGTGTTTAATACAGTCTGTTATGAGATATAATTTTTAAAAATCATTTGGAAATTATGTATTTATCTAATGATTTGGTTAGTTTTTTTGTACAGAGTAATAATTCTAAATTTGTTGATACAGAAAGTTTAGGAAGACTTACCATTGAGAAGAAATACCTGTCATGTTTTCTTCGTTCTCTTGTTTATAACATCTTGAGACATGGTCTGGTATGAGAGATAATTTAGAAAAGCGTATGTGAAATTTGTATTTACTTAATGATTTTAATAGCTTTTTACAGAGTAATAATTCAAAATTAGTTGATGATATATAAATTTTAGGAAGGGCTGATACAGTTGTGACTTGAAAATGTTTGCGTTTCAGGACTTGAATAGTTTTTCATGATAGGATCAGTATGCAAAAACTAACTTGAGTAGTGATAAGTATGGAATTATTCAAATGAGCTATAATGTATGAAGAATTGGAGAGGGATTTCCTTCTTGTGTGAGAAAATTATCAGTTGGTGCTGTTGGAAAATGGAAATTTTAGGTCTTATTTTTAATGTATTTTCATTTCTGTGTTAGGGAAAACTCAAAAGCAATATTTAAAACTTTTAAAGCAAAAATTTTTATTCTGTATTATTATAATAATATTAAACATTTTAACTTTTTATTTATCTTTATTCTATTTTTAACAAAATCCATTGAAATAATGTTCAATCAGTAATAGGGTAACCAGATTCATTATAGTTAATACATTTACATCTGCATCTCTTTAATTCAATTTAGAAAGCATCAAAATCTTTCTGGTTTTATGTATTTAATAATAATGTTATACACAAATTAAGTGTAAGATTTTCACGAGCATGTGTTCTTTAAAAAACATAGTTAGGTGTTTTTTTAACTAAAAGATAAAGACACCATAGTTAACTCTCACATTTTCTCCTACTAAAGGTCAATCACAAAAAAAATCCTGTTCTAAGCATATGCATGTACACTGTAATCACTGGTCATTATTCTTTTTATACAATACATTGTAGTATATTATTTTCGTGTAGGCTTTTATTGTGTGTGAAATATTGTCAGGAGCTCATACTTAAATTTTTAAGGCAATGGATTTGTATTTATCTCTGTGAAGAGTGAATTTAAAATACAAAGACATTAACAATATTCCCATACATTTGTGTAAATATTATTCAGAGATTTATTTTTTTATATTATTTGGTATGAAATTATTTTATGTTCCTCACATAAAAGTATGAATTTTTATTTATAAATAAATACTTATTAAATTTTTTATTTGTCAACAGACCGTTGAATGCTGTGATAGCTGATTTTGGATGTGGAGAAGCAAAAATTGCCCAAATATTTGTAAATCGCAGAATTTATTCTTTTGACCTTTTAGCAGTTAATGAATATGTAACAGCTTGTGATATTGCAAAGGTAAGATTTTGTTACAGTACTAACCTAGTAATAGCTGAAATAACAGAAACACATGGTTAACATTGTACCAGTTGCATTTTATGGTTTATTGAATTAATTGTTGGGTAACACATTGTATAACTATAAAGGGTTTAGTACTGTATATTAAAACAGTTTTGGAGCCTCACCATGTCAGTACAGTCCATGTCACCATGCCTCATAAAGTTCTGTCTGATGACCATAAAACTTGACAATAGCCCTGCAGTTAAGTTTCCATTACAAAAGGCTGTCATGTCCAAAGAATACCACTTTTCCTTGCTGGCTTTCCATAATCCATATAATGTATGAGGATGACAGTTTTTTAGTGCAAATTTCAATAATCTGATCACATAGAAATCTATATTTATGCCTTTATATGAAATATCATGAATGCCCGTTTAATTCTCCAGCTGCTTGAGGTACACAATGGTCGAATGGGAGGTATGGCTGGGAGCCTTATTTTGGTGACCCCATGCTTTGTTGGCCTTTTTGTCCAGACAGAAGTCCTTCTTAATTATGTTGGATGTTTTTATCTGAGGCATGTGGATAGCTTTTTTTCCTGACCTTTTACTAGATGCCGCAATTTGTTTACTAAAACTGGTGTATAATTTGTTGTAGGATGTTTTCCAGATTGTCCTAGTCTTTCAAGTTGGTCCATTTTCCTTGATTTTCCAATGTCATTAAGTACAAGGGATACCCTTATTTTGAGAATTCAAAATCCTTTATCTGAATACATCTTCATGATTTCAGTGCATGAATATATTGTGTTGGAAAAAGCCATCAGTTTTCATTGGCATCACACTACCTACAGTATGGCAAGTAATGTCAAAATGTAATTCTGTAACATTCTGTTCCACTACAACTTTATGTAAGCTGTAGTTTGATTTATTAATTTTCATATTTAAAATTGTTTTAAAATAACATGCTCAATCCTTTAGATCACTTTGAAATAAATTAATATTTTTACCACCTGTAAATGTACAAATGCTGCCTATGTTTGAATTTTAGGCACACTCAAGTTTACAACTTGTGTGACAGTTAAGGGTATTTTTAGAAAACTGGTATTTTTTTTTATTCACATTACTTCTTCCTTATTTTGTTTCTTAAGTGGTATGATTTGTCCTTTTTTATACAGGGCAGTTTTGACTGTGAGCTACTCGCATTCACCCAATTTCCTTAATCAGGCTCATTATTCTTATTTTGAAGTTTTCACTATTTGCGGCTCTCACCGATTTGATATCTTTTATCACATGGCTTCTTTTCACACACTAGCTTGTTGTGCTGTGTCAAAGGTGCTCCCCTCCTCTCTCCACAAAATTCAGCGGTCTTCTAAATGTCTTCCTTCTTGCTTCATTGAGACATTCAGCAGGCACATCCTTCTCTCTCTGCTTCTTAGTCTTTTACATCCACTGCCCTTACTCATTCCTTTTCCTCTATTGCCAAAGTAGAAACAAGTGTGGTGGTTCTTCTTGAACCACTCTCTTCAGTTCCAGGTGCACTCGCCATACATCATAAAGCTTCATTTTAAACTTTTCTTACTTCCTTACACAGTATACCTATTACAACATTCTCGAGTCGTTGAGTCCGTTATCAACACCACCTTACTGTCTTTTTTTTCATCTCCCTGAGTGCATCCTGATTAGATTGGTTTTGTGAGTTTGCCAGCCTTTTATTGAGTTTCTTCACTGAGAATCTTCCAGTAGCAGGTACATAACAGTTGTTTGTGTTGTAGCCCTGGATATCTGTGTAGCCATTATCTATGATCACGCCTATCAATGCACATGGCAATCTAGATATGTCCATACTGTCCAATGCTCTTATATATTTTGTTGAAGGGAATCTAAGATGAAGGATACTCTGCTGAAAGGAATTGTTTTCCCTTCTGTTGTAAACGTTTTTGTCCAGACCTTTTGAAGTATGGTCCTTTTTACTTAATTCTTTCAGACTAATCCAATCCAACACCTATTACTCAGGTTTTGATTCTGCTCAAGCTTTGCTTGTTAACACCATTTAATGTTTTGTAGTCTAGTTATGTTTCTTTTCCCATACCTCAGCATCTGGTGATCCAGTTGTCTTTTATTAGGATATCTGTTGGTTCCTTCCACTTTCTCAGTGTGAATATTCTGACTCGCATTATGTCAGAAATAAGTCTACCTAATTTGAATTTTGCATTTTTAGAATTGAAATGAATTTCAAGCAGGTATTTACCCCTGAAATACATTCCAAACCTGTCAGGTTTTTATGTGTGGATATGGGCAGGATTCTTTACAGTAGGTGTCTGTCACTTGTTGGTGATAAATTTTAACAATAAATGGACAGCACACAATCCACTTGTTTTAAAATAATATATTCAAAACAAGTCAAACATATATACAAATGTTTGTTACACAATTAATCACCTCAATTGTATCCAGAGCTTTAAATATTTGTCTCTTTTTGTCAGTAGCTCACACGGGCTGGTTCAGTTAATTTAGAACCCAATTGATGAGACAAATTACACTAACTTGGTTGCATATATATATTCATATGTATTGCCAAACTGAGGCCTAGAACTTTCTACAAAATATGAGGTGTTATGATGTAACAATACTCAATAAAACAACAACAAAATCTTGGAAGGTTCTAGTAACATGTGCGTAAGCAAACCTGCAATAAATTATCACTTCTAAAAATGCTAAATTTAACACTTATTCTCTATAACTATCTAAATCATAACTCTCGTATTAAATTTAAATGAAACAGTTACGATGACACATTTGCAAATAAAGAAATCAGGCTCATGCTGTGGAAACTGAATTTATGTAGTTCCCTTGGTACTTGATCAATAAGTCACCTAGAAAGTAAGAGAGTGGATAACTTTGGGTTTCAAAGTCACATCATGGTTGGCAAGGAGAGAGAGAACAACTCAGTAAAAAAAAACTTTTAACAGTATTTCAGAGGTAAGTACTTGAAATTTCTTTTAATGTGAAAAATGCAGACATTATATGGTAGCATTAAAAGTATTAAATAGTTAGGCCTGAACCTTATTACATGTATATCTGTTCTGGTCAGTGTATTGAAGTTAAGGAGAGAGTGCATCATCATTTCCTCACCAGCAAGTGCACATTACAGTATCTGTACAGTTATTTATATAAAACTAATTTCTGATAATATATTAAAAAACTGGGTTGGACGTGCAAGATGTTTTTGTTTTTTTTGCAATTTCCTCGTTATTGCTTCTAATTTGAGAAATGCTGTTTTTGTTATGTTTATATAAATAATAAAACTGATACTATATGTGTTTTAAGTACAGTCTGGTTATTTGTTTATTAGATATGTTAAACTGTAGTTTATCTATGATGATCCTTTATGAGAAAGTAAAAAATTTGAATGACATTTTGACATTTTAGTGAAATTTAATAATTTTAATGACTTAATAAGTGTTTTGTTTTTCTGTTTACACTATTATAACTAAGTATATATGTAATTTAATTAGCTTTAAAATTAATTGCAGTACTTGACTTAATGTTCACATTTTTCAGGATGGTGGATTTATTATCAGAAAAATTATTGATATGTTTCAGGTTCCCTTACACAGTGAATCTGTAGATATTGCAGTATTTTGTCTTTCTCTGATGGGCACCAACCTTCAGGATTACTTGGCTGAAGCAAACAGAGTCCTAAAGAAAGGGTAAGTTTATACAAACACACTGTTTATAGAGCAGGCTGTTGTTTTTGTACTCAGTATACTGATGTAGGTGGCCTGCATGGCCAGGTGATTAGGGCGCTTGACTCGCAATCTGAGTGTTGCGGGTTCGAATCCCTGTTCCACCAAATACGCTCGCCCTTTTAGCCATGGTGGTGTTATAAAGTGATGGTCAATGCCACTATTCATTGGTAAAAGAGTAGCCCAAGAGTTGGCGGTGGGTGGTGATGCCTAGCTGCCTTCCTTCTAGTCTTTCACTGCTAAATTAGGGATGGCTAGTGCAGATAGCCCTCGTGTAGCTTTGCGCAAAATTCAAAACAAAACAAACCAATTGATTTAAGGAATTTCTATGTGTTATCTAAAACTTGGGCTCATGAAATCATTTCTTATGTTAAAATACCATGTTCATTAAGGAAAATTTTAGAATCTGTACAATATTTGAAGTATAATTATTAGAACTCAACTTTGCTGCTTCTGGAATTGCTTATTAGATATTCATTTCAACTAATAGATTGTGATGTGATTAATATTTTTATTCCTATGCTGTTGTATAATTTTATGACAAAATATATGTATACAATTAAATGCTTTAGATTTTTTTTTAAATTATTAGATACTTCAATGAATGAAATGATCACTTGTCACATAACTTGGACTTGTATATGATGGGAGGAATTTTATGTATTCACAAAAGTAGTCTTGACTCTAACTTTGTTAATATTGTTGCTGTTTATTGATCACTATTTTTCATTCCAAATTTAAATCTTAATACATATAGTATGCTTTTCTCTGTTTTACTCACAAACTGGAATCGTCTAATTTTGAAACCCAAAGTTTCTGTAATTATAATTAAACATGCTTTATTTTCTCTCATATTAATTCTATTTTTTTTCGAAACTTTGTACGTTGTGTAAAATAGGGTCATCTCATTAATTCTGTTCTGTTTGTATAGAAAATAGTTATAAAGTATGAGGAATTATGAAACACTCATTCCTGTGTTTAACTTTATCTTCCAGGCTACTTTTGTTTTTGTAGTAGTAGTATCATAGACTGAGTTGGAACATTGTTTTTTTAAGTAAAAAACTGTATAACAGTTTTCTGATTCTATTTTTCTGTTGTTCTTCCATGTTAATATTTGTATGATAACTTTTGTATTTCTGTTTTTTTCATTCTCTTTAATTCAGGGGACTTTTGAAAATTGCAGAAATAGAAAGTAGGTTTTCTAACATTGAAAGCTTTATTAGCATTTTGAAAAAATTTGGATTCTCCTTACTATCAAAGGTAGAAAATTTGTATTTTATTTTATTACACTATCTAACTCAAGGTGAAATTTTTCTTTTATGAGTACTTAATTTTATACCTTTATCACTTTCTGATTAACACAACATGTCAGTAGTATGACTATAGGAAAAACATGTGTATCTCTTACTTTGAAGTTTTATATCTAAGATGGCTCTCCAAAGCATGCAAATCTAATTTCAAATCTACGTGGCTTTATCAGAGAGAATTAGAGCATGTGTGTCTCTTACTTTGAAGTTTTAGATGTAAGATGGCTCTCCAAAGCATGCAAATCTAATTTCAAATCTACGTGGCTTTATCAGAGAGAATTAGAGCATGTGTGTCTCTTACTTTGAAGTTTTAGATGTAAGATGGCTCTCCAAAGCATACAAATCTAATTTCAAATCTATTTGGCTTTATCAGAGAGAATTAGAGCAAAACATTTTTGTTAAGAAAAATTACAAATTATTATATGGTAAGCCTTAAGTAAAGATCTAAGATCCAAAAATTATATCAGAATTAGCTAGTGTT